GATGGAGACTTGGCATGGAATTTTTTTTCAACCAATCACATGTGAACGATGATCATCAAAGATGGGAATGCGTTATGAAGAGGAAGTGCTTATTAACTTCTTGACCAACATATCAATTATGTACTCCTTGAGCATCCCTTCAAATTCTTGTGACTAAGAGTAGTGGTATTTTAGTATAAAAGGAAATTGTTTCCCCAAAAAATAAATAACATGCACATTTCCTAATTTTGGTCATTATGGGGCATATGATGTCATGTGAAGTCAAATATTTCATTTAAAATGCATTAATATTCTAAATAATTGCAAACAAACAAAAGAACATTGGGACTATAAATTTATTGGGCTTTGATTGTGTACATATATATGAAAGGCAAGGGTGCGACTGACCCACCCCTTTAGGGTCTCTTTGGTTGTAAGTAGGATTTATTAAATCCGATAAATTTTGATTTAATAAATCTCATGTAGTTTATATTTGAAATTTGTCTGCTAAGAGAGATGATGAATCTAGTTAAGTCAAAATAAGCAATTTGGTTATTTATTTCAAAATTTAATGATTAATATGATTGTACAATCATATTATATTTGTTTGTCAATATCAATCTTAATCAGACTAAATTTTACATAATTAGCATAAAAATTAAAAATTAATAATTATTAGTTATTAAGCTAATTAGCACAATCACTTCTATTTAATCAAATTAGGCAAAAAATAATATCATATTGTCATAGTTAATATCTTATTAATTAATTTTTATTATATAGTATTAAGGGTGATTTAAAAAATACTTAATGAAATATTTCTAATTTATTTGTTTGAAGCTTAATAATTTTATTAATTTTAATTAGGCTAATTAAATTATAATTAGCATAAAATAATATATCAATTAATCATTAATTAGTAATATCTAAAAAAATAGTAATATCAAATTATGCGATTCATTTAGGTCTTGGGTTCGAGTCTTGCATATGTGATATGTGTACGAGTTTGCCTTAATTGGCCTAAATGTCTAAAAAAAATACAATGTTTTATATTTTGTTAAATTAAATTACCAATAATTAAAATTGATTTTAAGTTATCATTTTTAAAATTGATGGGATGATGGTTATGTGAGGAAAGAGAATTTTGTGAGTGGCAATTTTAAGTTAAATACACTAATTCTTGGTTATGTGATATAAAATGAAAGAGAAACTATATTTAATATAATGTAATTTTTTTTTGGACATTTAGGCCAATTAAGGCAAAGTCATACACGCATCATATACCTAAGACTCGAAAATAAGATCTCTTAGTTGGTAGTCAAAGCTCCCTACCAAAAGACCAATGAGAAATATTATTTTCATTTGGCTGAGTTATTATAAATCATACTTAAATTCTCGTTAAGCCATCTACCAAACAACCTTAAAAGCTTGAGTCAATGTGACGCTTATGTTGTTTGAGAGATTTGACTACCAACCGAAAAGTTTTTTTTGTTCGAGTTTTACTTATATGATGCTTGTGTAAATTTCTCGTAATTAGCCTAAATGTCCAAAAAAAAAAACTCAAGTCAATATCGTTATATGGTGAGGCTAGGGCTGCAAACGAACCGAGCCGAGCCGAGTATGTGAGTGTTCATGTTTGTGTTCATTTAATATCAGCTTGTTCAAGTTTGGTTCATGTTTTTCGAGCTTTATTGTTTGTGTTCATGTTTGGTTCATTTAAATTAATGAGTGTTCATGTTCGGTTCATGTTCAGTTCATGTTCGTTCGTTTAGTGCTTATCGAGCTTGTTCGCGAACATATTTAACGAATTTTTTTTAACTATCAAACAAACACGTTCATGAACATATCTATGAACAAACACATTTATAATAAAAGCAATTGTCTATATAACAAATGCAATGATTATTTATATTTATTAATTCTATAGTCAAATATTAATTATTTTTATTGAGCTTATTCACGAGTTCAAATTCGAACACGAATCGAGCTTCTTATCTAGTTTAATGTCGAGCTTGTTCACGAACTTCAAATGATGTTGTTCGTGAAAATAAATGAGCCGAACACATTAGTGTTCAAGTTTGTTTATTTAAGAATCGAGTATTTAAAATATTGTTCAAGTTTGTTTTTTAGTTAATTAAACGATCACAAACGAGCTTTAATCGAATCGAGCAACGAGTAGCTCGTCGAACGTTTGGTTCGCTTGCAGCCCTAGAGAGGCTCAGCGATCGAGAATTCAGGGGTTGCTTGGCTGCAGATTGTATTTAATGAATATTGTAAATACAAATTTACTAAATCCTCCTGAAAAAAAAAAAGTTTTGTAGAGATTAAAGTTTTGTTTGGAATAACTTTCTTTTTTGCTTTTTAAATTAATTTTTTAATGCAAAAAATTTTAGTTCAATATTTTTTATGCTAGAAAACCGCTTTAAAAATAGTAAAAAAACTATTCAAAATAAAGGCCAAAGATAATTTTTTAACTGATTTGCCTTTCTATGGCCGGAGGTTTGCTAGGGTTTGTTTTTCCTCTTCTCCGGCTGTTCGTTGCACTTCGACTTCGCCTGCTTGGTGTGAGAGGTAGATTTGAACGAGAGGTGAAATAACTTCTTCTTCGCTTCCGTCGACGACGTTCCTTCCTGTCGGATCCAAAGTTACACCTCCTCGCCGTTCTTTTGTTGGATCGGAAGTAATCACGACGAGGGGAGCTTGCTCCTTGCGTAGGTAGTCGTCTTTCTTCCCTTCGCGCGTTCTTTGGCCAAATCCCTTAAATCCGGGATTTTCGGCAAAAAGAGGGAAACAGAGGATTTAGCTCGCTGTGAGATTTAACGAGTACCTAAATTCTGTTTGACAGGATTTATCAAAAATCCTGTATCTAAGAAGTTCCCTAAATCCTGCATAAATCCTGTGTGTGTTGGTTTATCCTTCTAACCTCTATTTTTATGCCACTAGAAATAGTTTAGTGAGGGAAGCACTCTCAATATCATTGAAAAGTGAAAGCGAATTTATTTTGTGCATTGGTGTGCATGCACGCATTAAAAATTGACCATATATCTAAAGTTTATCGTGTTTTTCAGTCAGATGTTGTCTTACTCATGGCGTTTTGCGTCTGCATTTTGCAGCTAGATTAGTTTGGGCCAAGATGTATGGGCGAAGAGCATCTCAGCTATTGAGGGAGTTGGCCGCCTGTGAGGCAGGACAGCTGACAGCGTTCAATGTACATATGGTTTTCCTTGACCTGTTCATCTGCTAGCATAAATTACGCTTCTTACCTTCATGTAGTTTATTATATCCTGTTATAGACACCCCTCACTTTCTTACCATTATTTAAATTAATAAAAGTTTTGGATTTTAGCTTATAATTTCGTCTATCTACAGAGATTTATGATTGTGGAACTATTTTTATTATAGTGAAATTTTATTTTTATTGCAGAGCGATACATTTGAGCAAGTCATTAGAGAATGCAATGAGCATAACTTACAGCTCCAGTCATTGATCAGGCAAGTCATTATACTCATGCGTTGTCATTTTTCCCCATCCCCTTCAAGTGTTGGACATAACCTTATCCAAGTTGATTAGTTAGGATTAAATATATGTTTTTGTGTGTAAGTCATGTGGATATGTTTGTTAGCCTTGAATAAACCAACACCAATCCTACCCAACCCAACATCTATATTTGATGTTTATCACATTTGGAATTACTGGTGAATGCCAAGGGCGGATCCACCTTAAGCCCGGGAGACAATTGCCCCCTCTAAAAAAAGCATTCTTATTATATGATTTTTTAGGTAATTTATCGTCTCCATCTATTTTTTTAGCCTTTATTACAAGGGTTTTTAGTCAATTGCATCCCTTAAAAGTTTTAAAATACTATGGTCTTTAAGCAATTGCCCCCAATATAATTAAATATATTGTGTAGAGATGTTATTGTTAGGGAACGATAAACCAAATACAAAAAGAAATAGTAAAGACAATCCAAAAATATCCTTACAACCAAAATTTGTTCCAGGGGCGCTGCCCTCTCCCGACATATATGTGAAATGTACAACGTTCAAGGATATGAACAAATAGGGGTCAAGCCAAATTCTACACTTTTACTTATAAGTTTGCCCCACCGTGAAAATTAAGGCTAGTTCCGCCCTGGGTGCATGCATTTACATATGATGTATTTGTTATTTCAAATTAGAAGGAATCATGGTACAGATTTAAACGTGTATTATAACACCAAGTTATGATGGGATATTCTAGTAAAGTTTTTACGAATGGAAGTGGGAGGTAGAAATCCCAACAACAGATGAGGTCTATGGATTATCTGCAGATGTGTATTTCCCCATAGTGATTCTCATCAATGTCGTTGTCTCAGATCCACTGCATTATATTTATTAATTTATGGCCATATCATTAATCTTCATGCTGTAATGCACATTGAAGTTTCCTAATTTTGAACAGGAAAATCGAAGATGCAAATTTAGATATACAAACAACTAGAAATGAGGATCATTTTGGAGCTGTTATACACCACCTTTCTCTATTACGCAACAAACGCTGTCTCATGGCTTACATGTAAGGTGCTTGATGAAAGACATTGATTTCGTTTGGAGCCGCCTTTTTACTGCTTCTTAAAGCAGTTTTCTAGTACAAAAATTTTAATTTTGTATTAAAAACTGCTTTTAAGTAATAAAAAGTCGTCCCAAACGAAGCCTTTCTCTTACTAAACTAGACCTTTAATGGTTCTTGAATTATTATGCATATACTAAGCCCAAGACATGCAATTAAACAGGTATAATCGAGCCGAACTAATTCAGAGCTTGAGATGGAAGATTGGCCCTGTTCTCCCACAAGAAATACAAGAAAAACTAAATTATTCAGAAGAAGAGTATTTTAAAAACCATTCTGCAGCCATAGAGTCATATATGTCAGAGTTGGACCTCGATTTGACAGTGGTAAATCTTTATTAATTGCCTTGAATCATTTCCTTTAGCATACACACCTATATGCTCTTTTTGCTGAGAGATTATTACGTGTGGTGTCCGGACCGTTTGGAGGCTATTCCGGACGCGCCACGTCACCCGGATGCACTGGGCCCAGGTGATGTGGCGGATGCCGCATGTAATAGTTTTCCTTTTTTGCTCACACTTATTTTTGCTCACACTTATTTCCACAATGAGAAAGTTGAGAAAATATTCCAGGATATGGTTCCACCAAAGGATCCTTATATCCGAGTAAAAGTCCTTGATGACATTGGCGAGTTGTGCCTGGGTGACCATGCTATCTCCCTTACTCAGCACTCGTTGCATTTTATTAAACGCACAGATGCTGAGCCATTTATTTCACAGGTTTGATGCTTCTGTACTGTTCCTCAATGCTTATCCTTTATAATTCCTTTCTGATCACTTTATACTTTCCTGTGTGGTAGGGACTGATGGAAGAGTTTCTTGAGTGAGGCTCGGCCGACGCTTAGCGACTGTAACAATTAGTGATTCTTTGCTGTAATTGTGTCAGTCTTACATGATTGTATTTCCTTGTTGTTGTTAAGTTTATGAGCATGAGAAATAAATAGATCCATTTCTCATTTTAGTTGAGCTTTCATGTTCTGGAACAGATCATGACAACCTATTCTGGTGCTATAAATAGTTGTTTTATGATTGATTTTTTTATTTATTATGTGTTCTTGTAGAATAAAGCATATTTGTCTATGGCTTCCTTTCTTTATTGTTCAACACTCATAATTTAGATTAATTATGCTGTGCGGATGCTGAACGCTATCTAGAGACCAACCAAAATGCGTCACATCATCCTTGTGCTTGGTACCGCGGCTTGGTACTGCGCGGCTTGGTACCATTCAGTACCACGACTCGGTACTGCTCGGTATCGTTCAGTACCACGGCTCGATATTGCTCAAATGACGCATTTTGGTTGGTCTCTTGATGACGTTCTACGTCCGATTTCTACACAGAACAATTTCTCCATAATTTAGGTATATTGTAACTTTTTAGTGCAATTTTTTTTTTTTTTTTTGAATTACACTTTTTTTTTATCAGGAAAGTGTTTTAAAAAAGAGTAAGAATACTATCCTAAAGAAAGTTTTGATCTCAGTTACCGGCAACTTTAGAAAATATTGTTAAACTCTTAGAGTCCTATCGGGCATCACTTGTCTTTTTTATTTTTGTTTTTATTAAAATAATTGTTTAGCATATTTTTTTTAATTAGTTTTTTTATATATATATTTTTAAACAAGTTAAATTATTTCTAAAATAATTTTAAGATATTTTGAATATTTTTAAAAATAATTATCATTATTTATATCATTATTATGGGCCATCTCTATTATCATAACCATTATCATTTAAATCAATTTATTCTATAGTAAATTAAAATAAAAATATCTTTTTAAAATATCAAATATGCTTTTAAGATTCCTTACTATCTTCATCTTTTAGTTTTTTTTTTAATTTTTAAATGAGAATCATTATCTAATTCCATATCTCCCCAACAAAATCACTTGTCCCTCATATAGAACTGGCCATTTAATTAACTTTCTCTCATTTGAATATCTTATATATTATTCCTTCATTGTCAAAGTAAAATCAAAGCTTGGCTCATGTTTCCACCTTAAACAATAAAGTACACCAAACAAGCAATAATTTATTAAAGATAATTTATTAAGAAACTAAAAGGAAAAAAATCCATTTAATGACATCAGATTAGTGGACTAATCATGCTTTGTCCTTAAGAATAATTCCAAACATAAGAAATTACTATTCATTGCTAAGGATCACATACATATGAGATGCATGAACGACTATGGCTCCCCCTCTCCTTCATTTTCTATGCCATGTTCTTCCATATATTAACAATGGAGATTTTGGTGGCTTTCCTTGCAGAGCCAATGCCTGCATCACCATATGAAAACTTCAAGACTTTTCTTAACCGGTGTATAACAATTAAGGCTTCGTTTGTGATAGTTTTTTTGCTGGTTTCTAAAGCAACGTTTTAGTATAAAAATTTTCGGATCCAAAGAGTTTTTTGTGCTAAGAAATTGTTTTAAAAAACAATAAGAAAGCTGTCTCAAACGAAGCCAAAGTTTTAATAAGTTGGTTGTGATCTAAAATTTAGGCTTTGTTTGGGATGGCTTTTTTATTGATTCTTAAGACAGTTTTTTAGTTTAAAAATTAAAATTTTTATACTAGAAAATTGCTTTAAGAAGAAGTAAGAAATCGGTCCCAAAGAAAGTCTTAATATTTGAAATTGAATTGAATTGATTATGGCATTAAATATGTTGATTTCAATTTTGATTTGATTAAAATGAGAGCTATGATTGATCAAGTTAGGAGCTGCAGCCATGATTTAGAGCTTTGGGCCCTAAACAAAATATATTTAGCTCCACGTCTCATTCAAATTTTAATCCCAACTTTGAAAATTTTGACCTGTGAGATGCTCGGTTATGCTTCCCCTCTCATTCATAATTTAACTTTCAAAGCTTTTTTTTGTCTCTGTCCATTAGCTGGCAAAGGATAATCCTTCCTCTCCAATCTCCATCAACTTAAATAAAGCCTTCTTCACCTTCTTCTTTGCCATTTTGCTCGTCTGTTCCTCCTTATCATAGCATGGGGAGGCAGCCATGCTGTGATAAGGAGAGGGTGAAGAGGGGTTCATGGACGGCTGAGGAAGATCAGAAGCTTGTTGACTTCATCCTCAACAATGGCATTCATTGCTGGCGCCTCGTGCCGAAGCTTGCAGGTCTGTAAATCATTATCATTCATCTTCTTCCAACTATTTGTGATTTATATCCTTTTCTTTCCAGTTTTTCTTCAATGACTCTTTTATAATGCAACTTAGGTTTCATTTGGGACGGGTTTCTTACTGCATCTTAAAGCTGTATTTTAATACAAAAATTTAAATTTTACTACTATAAAGCTGCTTTAAGAAGTAGTAAGGAAGCAGTTCTAAACGAAGACTTAGACTTCATTTGTGATGATTTTCTTACTGCTTCTTAAAGCAACTTTTAATTACAAAAATAAAAAATTTCTACTAAAAAACTGCTTTAAGAGTAGTAAGAAAGCTGTCCCAAACGAAGCCTTGATTAGCTTAATGGAAGTAAAGTGAAGAAATGAATTTTATGACTTGATAATGAATATATATAGCTATGAATTTGAACTTGAAAGTGTAGTTGATACATATCATGAGATATAAATTTTTTTAATTTTGAAGGTTTGATGAGATGTGGTAAGAGCTGCAGGCTGAGATGGATCAATTACCTTCGCCCTGATCTTAAGAGAGGAGCTCTATCTGAAACTGAGGAGCAGCAGATAATTAAGCTCCATTCTAATCTTGGTAACAGGTGACAAGCTTGACTCTCACCTTCTCCATTTTTTACTAGTTTATTTCAGATTAAAATTTGAATTTGTTATTCTAATTTTGTTTAATTGTGCCATTATGAGCTAAGATCATAATGGTGTTTTATAACTGGTCTTAGGTTTCGTTTGGGACGGCTTTCTTACTGCTTCTTAAAGCAGTTTTCTACTTTAAGAAGCAGTAAGAAAGCCGTCCCGACGAAGCCTAAGTTACTCTAATTTAGTGAATCTATATAAAATTCTTGTATGTTTTTGTGTTGATATTTTTCTTTTTAATGTCCTTTCTGACTCGCAGATGGTCGAAGATTGCTTCGCATTTTCCGGGCAGAACCGACAACGAAATCAAGAACATATGGAACACCACAATCAAAAAGAAGCTGAAGCTTCAGAGCTCGGATCAACTGACTGCCAAGAACAATGAGGCTGACAGGAAGAAACTCATTTCCAAGATTGAAGACAAGGGCTTGGTAATTGAAACCAGCACTGAAAGCTCAAAGAGCTCTTCATTTCAGGAACTGGAACAGAACTGGACTCAAGAGATGAAGCTAATTCAAGCTAATCTTTCTATTAGCTGCAGTGCTTCAACATCCATGGAAGGAAATGTTAATCCATCTTCATGGGAAGGAGAATCAAATGTTCATGGAGAATCTGATGAGCTCTTTTGGGCTGATACAATTGATTACTCCTCATCATGGGATGCCTATAATTTTGTTGATGATTTTCTGCATTATGAAAACTACCCATGAGATTTTTTTTTTCTTGTTTCTTCAGTAAATGGGGGGGATTATTGGGTTCGGACACCGGACACATCTTATCGTTCGGTACTTCACAGTACCGAGTAATACTGAACTCGGTACTGTGAAGTACCGAGTTCGGTACTTTACAGTACCGAGCATTACCTGTACTGAGCTCGGTACTGCTTGGTACTGAGCTCAGTACCGAGTAAAAGGTGATGTGGCACATTTTCATTGGGCTCCGGCGTCGTCCGGTGTCTAAACCCAATAATTTTCCCATGAGCATCCATTGGTGTTAAACTAGTATGATTACTGTTACTTATTTCCATTGCCATATGTAAATTTTATTGATCAATTTGAATTATACTCATTGAGTGTTTTTTTTTTTCTGGATACAATTGAGCTCTTCAATTCTAATTGCTCATCAAGAAGATCATCAATTTTGTTGATATAGAATTATTATTAATGCTTTTTGCAACACTAAGTACAGTATTTCATGGTGGTTTTAATGGCCATAAAATTGATGGTAATGCTCCAAAACTACTATAAAGCACCTTGTTTATTGTCTGCTGCAGAGGGCTCTTGCAGTAGTTTTGCAATTGCTGGGAATATAATTTGCTACGTTAGTTTCAGAGGCGATTAAAGTGATATTTTTGTCTATGATTTCGTTTGAGATGACATTTTTATTGTTTTTTAAAACAATGTTTTAGTACAAAAATTAAATTTTTGTATTAAAATAGTGATTTAAGAAGCAGAAAGAAAATCGTCCCGAATGAAACCAGTATCTCTAACTTCCTACAAAGTGTAATCTTCTCATACTGTTTTTTTAAGACTTTCTATATTATTTGACATCTATGTGGACATGAACATAGACTTATGTAAATCTAATAATATAAGTTTTTATTTGGGATAGTTTTTTTATTGCATTCTAAAACAATTTTTTTAGTATAAAAATTTCTAA